AAGATGAGAGTAATAATAATAATAATGGTGCTTAACCTCATGGAATTATATCGATTAATGAGTTATTTGTAAGCTGCTTAGTCCAGTGTCTGGAACACAGCAAGCATTCTATAAGTGATAATTTAATTTAATTTTTTTCTTAATCCTCACCGAGGATATTTTTCCACTGATTTTTAGGGAAAGTGGAAGAGAGATGGAAAGACAGAGAGAAATACCGATATGAGAGAAACACATTGATTGGTTGCCTCCTGCATGCACCCTGACCAGGGCCTGGGCTAGCGGGAGGTCTGCAACCAAGGTACATGCCCTTGACCGGAATTGAATCCGTGATCCTTTGGTCCGTAGACTGACGCTCTATCCACTGAGCCAAACCGGACAGGGCAATAAATGAAATTTTAAATATGCCCAGCATTCCAATCAGGTGCAGTCAATGCCAGGAAGAGGACCCAACACATTCATCTTTTGATGACTATAGGTAGAGCTGACCAAAGGAATCAGGAATTCCTGCCAATTAGGGAACTGTGGTGGCTGGGCAGTGAGGCACTGTGGGAAAATCAAAGGCTTTGGAGTAAGACAATTCTGGATTTAAATCCTACTCCAAAACTTACTCTGTGTGTACCTTGATCAAGTCACTGAACCTCTCTAAGCCTCACTTCTCTCATTTATAAAATGAGGGTGAGGGTTATCACCTGGATCAGTGATATATGGAAAGTAGTATCCAACAGTTCCTAATGTCATCATGGCATCATCATCATCATCACTATCACCATCATCATCATCACTATCACCATCATCGTTATCACCATAAATTTGAAATGTAGATACAATCAGGAAAATGAAGTAGACTTTAAGTCAGCAATTCTAAGTGTGGAGTGTCTAGGAAACTGTCAATATTTAAAGGGGTGGGAGGTGAATATGAAGGTTGAAAAGTACAATCAATAGAATAATATTTGGAAAATGAAAAATAAAACGACTTTTCCCATAATACAGACCAAAGAAATTGAGATTCAGCATGTCTCTCTGGAGAGAATGGTTTCCCAGGGAAAATGCCAGAGTGAAGAATGGGGGTTGGGGGGTGGGATGTGGAGATTTTATTTTTCAAAAGGTGTCATGTCTAGCTGGTGCTTAACATGACCAGAAGCTCATATTTGTGGTGAGTATTAATTGTTGAAAGCCTCAATGAATTTATATGTGCAAAATATTGATTTCTTAAAATTCTCTGATAACTGCTCCATTTTAAAATCAATCCAGTCACTCCAAGGTTAAATCAGTCGAATTTAGCAATGTTGACATGCTCCCCTGGAAGTTCCTTTAAAAAGGTCATTTTAGGTTCATATCAGTCATATTCAGGAAATTCCTCCCATCCTCTCTCCTTCTTCCTGGGGTTGTTGTTAAGCTTGGGGTGAGGGAGAGCAGGGTGTTTACACAAAAGTAGCTGCAGCATTAGTGAGAAGTAGGCATCCACTTCCAGACCTAGCTGCGTCTTGCTCTCATAGTCCTGCACCCAAACAGTCAGTCCTTTCTCTTCTTGTTCTTGGGCATGTGCCCTCCACCCTGAGCATCCATGGAGATGCGGCTGCATCCTCATCTATGTCTGGGAAGTGACCCACATCACCTCTGATGTGTTTCCCCTCCTCCTAGCTCTGAAATCCCTTGTGGCCCCATCAGGGCTCTCACTCCTTTTCTTTCTTAACTTTCTGTTTCCACTTGTGGGGGTGGGGCCTGGAAACGTTTAGATGTTCTACTTATAGGATTACCACATTTACCAAATAAAAATATAGGACACCTAATTATGGAGGGGTGGGCAAAAGTCAGTTTACAGTTATTTGTATGGAAAATAATGCAATAATCTATACTAATAAAAGGGTAATATGCTAATTAGACTGGATAGACCAGACGTCTTCCAGACATCCTTCTGGACGAAGCCGCAGTGGCTGTGAGGGCCGAGGAGGGCCGGCAGTGGCAGTGGCAGTAGCAGCAGGGTGATGGGGGAGGCACCTTCCCCTGATCAGCCCAGTCACCTCCCATAGAGAGAGGCCATGGGGAGCGGGCCTAAGCTGTCAGTAGGACATCCCCTGAGGGCTCCCGGACTGTGAGAGGGGGCAGGTCAGGCTGAGTGACGCCCCCCCCCACCCCCCGTGCATGCACCGGGCCTCTTGTTAATAAATAATAATACAAAAATAAACTCTGTGTTTCATGTACTCACAACTGCAAAACCACTTTTGCCCACCCCTGTATTTGAATTTCAGATAAACAATATTTTTTTTTAGTGTGAATACACCCCAAATATTGCATGAGACATATTTATGTTAAAAATTATTCATTGTTTTTCTGAAATTCCTGGGCTGGTGTAAAACCATGGGAAACTCCAAGAGCTGCCTCACCTCCTCCCAGTGTGAACGGCCACAGAACCATAGGCTGCTGCACGTGCTAGTGCAGGGCTCCACCCTGTGGAAATAAGGAAGCCCAGCCAGATGGGAACAGACAAAGGCTATTTATTCAGAGCTTGCTATAGCAGGAAGGCAACCACTGTCACTTGTATTTTGGGAGACTCAAAAGCACATGGAGGTTGTAAAACCTGACAGTAGAAAAAGGGAGGGCTTCGGGGTGTCCCGATGGGAGGCTCTTGGTGTGGGGAAGCCGCAGGTCCATTTGTCCATTCAGTGTCTCATCTACAGGACTCCTACGCAGCTGTGGGAGTTGTGAAACCGCAAGGCTGCTGTCATCCTGTCTGATGCTGGAGCTTAAGTCCCCAGGTAGCTAGGAAGGGAAGATGGAGGCACAGTGGGCGAGAATCAGCTGCAACCCCCAGGACAGACCGGAACCCATATCAGTTCTCAGTGCCTCCAGATGATCCTGCAGAAGCTGGTGCCCTCTGTCCTGGTGCTAAACACTCACCTGGCCCAGGAATCGGAGAAGTGAAGGCTGGGGAAGATGGACCGCTTGTAGGCCCGCCAGCTGCCCACGCTGAGGACTCGGCAGATGAGTAATAATGTGTGAGCTACAAAAGCACATGCCCCAACCTTCTGAGAGTAAAAAATAATGCAGCTGCTGCTTTACTCCTGCCCCTCAAATCTCATGCAAAAATGTCTCTTCTCCTCACTCGGACCTGAAACACACAGGAGAGGGCGTTCCCGGAAACAGCTCAGCTTGGCCCGCCTGACTGGCTAAAGAAGCTGCCATAGCAGTTGCTTGAAATGCTAGACGGGCGCCTTACAGTGAATGCACATTGGTTCACAAACTCAAATGTTAAAAACGTAATTTTTGTTATAAATAAATGTATAAAAAAGTGTATACTGAGGTACTGCTCACACACATTTAGGTGTTTAATTAAAGTGCAACAGTGAGTGTGTGTGTGTGTGTGTGTGTGAGAGAGAGAGAGAGAGAGAGAGAGAGAGAGAGAGAGAGAGAGAGAGAGAGAGAGAGAGAGAGAGAGAGAGAGAGAGAGAGAGAGAGAGAGAGAGAGAGAGAGAGAGAGAGAACTGGTAGGAAGTGTGTGTCTCCACTGGGGCTAAGAGCCACTGCTACCCGAGGCAGAGGTGCTAGGATGTATATGTGATGAGGAACTGGACACAGGGACTGGATCCCCAGTGTGGGAGCTGGTTAGGCAGTCTCTGTAGGGATGTTGGTTTAGATCTGATGCTGGAGCTCCTATAGTCACACCTGGCTTTCCCTTTTTTGCCCCTGGAGAATCTGAAGACTGACAGGTACCATTTTTCCTTCTTCTAAAAAGTAGGCTGTTTTTAACATTTTTCTCTGTTTCATATGGATCCTTTCTTAATATTTGTAACCAGTGAGCTAAAGGCGATCTAAGTACCACAGAAGTCTATATGTGAGAGAAGGGGAGAAGGAAGACGACAAAGGCTGGTGGGAGACAGTGCACGTAGAAGCTTCATAGCAATGTTTTCCAGTAGGATGAGCTACAAGCTAGGACCCAGGATCTGGGATACCTAAACTGCCCTACTTATGGAAATGAATTCCTTCCATGATCTAGTCTTAAAGGACACAGAGTCCCCAGTAGAGTTCAAGAAGCTGAGGTCCCAGTGCTAACTCTGTCAGTATATTGATTCAGGGAAAGTCTCTCGCTCTCTTTTTAAAATTTTAATATTTGTATTAAATTTTTTTTAGAGAGGAAGGGAGAGAGAGAGAGAGAGAGAGAGAGAGAGAGAGAGAAACACTGATGTGAGAGCAAAACAGTCATTGGCTGCCTCCTGCACGCCCCCTACCCAGGTTAAGCCCAAAACCTGGGCACGTGCCCTGAACGGCAATCAAACCTTTTGGTGCATGGGTTGATGCCCAACCAACTGAGCCACACCGGCCAGGGCAGGGAAAGGCCCGTTTGGTCTCTGGAAGGCAATTCCTTCACTTCTCAAGTAAAAGTTTTTAGATACTTGAAACTTGACAGAGATGTAGTTCAATGATCACCACCGTTCTGACTATCAACGGGCTGTTGTAGAAGTGAAGACTGTTATCAAGTCTCCCCTTAGATGTTCCCTGCAAGGAACCTTTCCTAGGAGCCAGAATGGGTCCATGCTCTGGGCAAAAGTTAGTTCTTCTAGCTGTGCAACATTTTATTGGTTTTTAAGAAGGGGTTTTAGACTTAAACTTACACTTAGATGCCACTCTTCTGATGTGTGGGGAGCTCACTTCAAAGCAAGGAATGGAGTCACAGGAAGACTGAATTCGGGCAGCTGTGGGGCAGCCCCATTTTCACATCTGACACTGTGGGTAAGTCTTTGATCAAAATCCTCCTTCACTGTTGCACTGGGACAAGACTGGCTTTCTTCCTAACGTTCCCCGAACTAGTGTAAGTGGCCGCAGTTTAGCTTCTTAAGCATTTACATGGCCATCAGAGTGCAAGACAAGCCTGGTTTGTGTCGGATCCCTAATAGCGAGCTCAGTGCCTAGAAGGCAGTGAGTCCTCAATGTCTGTTTGTTGAATGACTGAGGGGTCAACAGTGGGGTGAAATGTGCCAACTGTATCAGTAATGACCACTTGATAAGCAGATCAAATATAGGCTTTAATAATTCTCAGAAGAAAGAACAGCCAAGATATCCTGAATTCATCACATTATAATAATATATTTAATGAATAAAAAAAGAATAGGCATTGCAGAAAATAAGAAAATACAAAGATTTGAAAAGCATCCACAATCTCACCATCTAGAGATGATTCTTCTTCATATTTTTGTGTTTATATTTTATATGTAACTCAGCAGAATTGGGATTCTCTGATATGTACTAGTGCACTGCTAAATTGTGTTTTAAGAAGAGTTTGTAATGACGATATGTTACCAGAGTGTATTTTTTAGAGCTGGAAGCACCTATACATGAAAAAGACACTAGAAGAGGTGAACGGCCACGTCCTCCCAGCAGCAGGAGGGCACAGGCGGGCTCTGCCTCTTCTGAGAATCCAGGGCTGCCTCCCCGTGAGTGAGGACCAGCATGGGCTCCACCTTCATGACGCTCTGTGTGGGCTTTTAAACCAATCTTTCCTCATTTTAGTGTCCCCTCGTGCACTGAAATACAGACCCTTGCAGTCCCGTCTTGTCTTGTTGGTAGTCGAATCCCTCCTCCGCCCACTCATCCCTGCAGAGCCTTCTGCCTCTTCCTGGAGCTCACATATCCCTGAGATCTAGATAGGGATTGGAGGGCTCGAATTTCAAAAACCTGAATTAAAGTCCTCCTTTGCAACGGGGCATCTTGCCCTGAGACTGCCCAGGGACAAAGGTGAGAAGGCAGAGGCTGTCTTTTTTGGAGGAGTTCCTCCATTTACACAGAGACCTGCAAGAGCGAGAGGAAGGGGGAAGAAAGGGGCCTGGCCTTTTCTCCTGATTCCTGGCTCAGGCGCCTCTCCTGCAGCCCGGGGCGTGGTCAGCAGAGTGGACGGAGGAGTGTGTATGGGGCAGGGAGGGGTCTTCACTGAATTCTGAGCTACAGGAGGACCACGGAGCTGTTCCATCTTGGATGCCTTTTATTCTTTAGTTAGGTATACTCAGATTTAAGAGGCAATAGCCAGGGACCCAGACCTTCAGCTCTTGGACCCTCATGGGAGATTGGGGTGACTCCCTCACTTCTGACTATAGGGCCTTCCCACTGGGTCCTCTGGGCCTCCTTGTCTTGGCAAATGGCCCCTCTCTGGGCAGCAGTTCATCCTGCTATATATTAAAAAATCTAACCATCACTCTTGCTTATCACTATCTTAAAAAGTGCATAGATGCGAACTTCCACAATATTATTAGGAATTTGGCTATGTATTGACAAGTATGAATCACTTTGTGCTCCTAACACTCACACAGTCTTTCTACACTCATAGGAAACAATACCTGCACAGCACTCCCCAACCAGGCGGAGGGAGGTCTTACAACACAGTGCAGGGCAGTTGTGGAAAGGAGGCGCACCTTCAGCTCATTGAGAATTTCCCCCCAAGCCCTCCCCCCCACACACACTGCCTCCCCCAGGCTCTCCCAATGCTGAATCTGACAGAGGCAGCCACAAAGAACTGGACCAATATGAGCTCTGAACTCTGGAATGATGCCCCTTTCCTTTATCCTGGCTGCTCAGCAAATGAACAGACTTCACTCCTATGTGTTGTTGTTTTTTTTTCAAAAAAAGGCTGCCTTAAAATATGCCCCCACCCTCCGAATGCAGCGGCCGAGTCAGCAGAAGTGCGTGGGATGCGTGCACATCCTGCATAACTTCTCAGAGGATTGCCCACAGGACGCAGCCCGCCTGCTGGAGTTAATTAACTAGAGCACCTGATGGATAAATAGTCCCCAAACAGCACTTCACAAACTTCAACAGTTCTGTAACGTTCTTGACTGTTGAGGCATCGCAAAATAAGAACTTACAGAGGGGAGGAAACAGCGACGGGGAGAGATTATAAAGACGCATAAGAACCCTGGAGGCATGGAGACACCCCCAGGCCGCTGCTTTGCGGAGACGATCCGGTTCTGGCTCTAATGGCTCCGCAGATGTTTGCTTCTGCCGAGGGATGCGATCCGGTCGTACATTCGCTTTTTCTGGTCCTCAGTTTCCCTGTCTGTGAAGTGGATGGCTGTGTTTGTCCTACCCCGTGTCTCCTTCTCACACCCCGTTGGAGGCCCCTCCCCCCTTCCATGTTCGCAGAGATCCCTCTGGGCATCAGGGCCCCCTGCCTGGGACAGGATCAGTGTTATCCTAGTGGCTTTTATTTGCACTGTGGCACTCTCAGAGACGCACAGAAGAGACTCAAATGGAAACGTGCATGCAGACTGGAAAACAAGTCTGTAGAGCTATACACACAGCCCTCTCCGCCACCCCACTCACAGTCACGGACTTGTACAACCATATAAGTGCATGAACAGACGGGGGACCATTTCCACAGCCACACTAGGAGTCACACAGACCCACGCTCACTCGTGGATACTCTGTCATCGTTTCCCACTGCGAGGTTATATATCCATCCAGCCTCGACTTCGCCCATGCCCTCAGCCCGACCTTCACCAGAGGTCATGACTGTGGAATACAAGACTCCAAACGCACATGGACGCGGCGCTGTGCCAGGTGTGGGACACAGGGAATAAGACAGTCCTGCTCGGGAGAGGCTCCCATCTGGTAGCAGACGGAGATGCACACAGTCACAGGTCCATGTGGTGGGTGCTGCTGCAGAAGCGAGTTCAGGAGCTGGTTCCGCTTTTGTCCTCCTGAACCCTGGAAGGGGGCCATTCTCCTCCTTCCGTCCTAGGACGCAGTGCAGGCTCAGTACCTGCTCGGCGCAGGTGGAGCGAGCCCCGCTGTCTCTGTGGGGACGGCTCTGCTAGTTTCAGCCTCGGATCCTGCCCTATAAGTCAGCTTCTCCTCAGGTGTGTCTGCTGGTAGATGTTGAGGGAGGGGGTGGTGAGGCTGAGGAGGAACAGGAGCACGGCCATGCTGAACCCATCCTGGAAGGAGCACTGAGTGACGAGGTAGGAGGAGTGGGCAGCAATGGCCACAAACTGACCCTGGGGAAGAGAAAGCTAAGGACAGAGATGGGAGAGAGGTGACAAGCAGTCGCTCCTCTGTCTACCAGCAGGGGGCAGGCCTCCTGCAGTTCAGTCTTCCTCTTCAGAAGGTAAGCTTGATGAAGCCTGCTCCCATTTTCCCCTAAGCCAAGATCCTCCTGCCCCCTCTCCTGGTTCTGGCCCCTTTGCCCTACTCCAGCCATGTTATGTTGACATCGATGATGTCTCAACCCATCCCAGGCCCCCTGAGGGACATCTCGGATGTCACTACCATCTGGCTCCTAACACTCCTGTGATGGTCCCCAAACCACAGGGCACCCAGGCACCTGGACGGTGGATCAGTGATCACAGGCTCACAGAAGTGCTCCAAGCCCAGCCCCTCGTTTTATGGATGATGAGACTAAGGTCTCAAGCATGGAAAGCATTTGCTCCAAGTTCCACCTTCTGTCAAGGCACCTGGACGGTGGATCAGTGATCACAGGCTCACAGGATAGAAGTGCTCCAAGCCCAGCCCCTTGTTTTATGGATGATGAGACTAAGGTCTCAAGCATGGGAAGCATTTGCTCCAGGTTCCACATTCTGTCAGGGAGTTAGGGTTGTTCTAGAATCTGATGAGATGTTTACTGAGTCCCTTTCAAATTGGGAGACTAAGTAAGATAGTGATGAGAAGGGCTAGTACATGGTCTGACACCGAGTTACTGGTGCAGCCAAGAGTAGGACCAGGGCTCAGCCAAAGGCCCTGGAGCCAAATGGGGTCTTCTCCGCAGCTGTAGGAGGGTAAGACATCACTTCCACCAGAGGTAGAGCTGCATGCTGGGCCCGACAGGCCAGTCCATAGTATAGGTACATCCAGACATGGACCAATGAAGTCAGCTTCTTGACAAGAGGAGGCCGCAGAGTTGGGCAAGGAGATCGAGGGGAGTAGGTGGAGCTGAGCATAGCTATGCTTTGCGTTTTCTCTTTCACGTTTCAGTCCTCCATCCTGCAGACAGCACCTCTGCATGTCCCGCAGAGAAAATCCTTGGGGAGGCCCATCCTGAGGTCTAGCGTGAGCGGCCTGAGGTCATGACCCTGGTGGGGCTAACAGGATGCTACATGAGAGTGTGTGTAACCCCTCTGCACTCCCCGATGGCGTTGAGCACCTCCCATGGCCTCCTCCTCTGCACCAGGAAGGGGGAGCCAGGAGGCTTGGGGAGCAACAGGGATAAAAGGAGAGCAGAGGCCTGGGCTCATGGCCACAGGAAAGGGGGACCTTGGAGGATGCACACCTCCCACCCTGGAGACTCAGCCCAGCAGAGAGAGGCTGCCTCACAAGGGCCTGGGCAGGGCTGCCTCAGCTGTGTCATGTATCCTGACCACCTAGCACGCATTTGACTCCAGCCGCCCAGTTGATTAGCATGGTGCAATGGTGGTTGACATGCAGGCTGGTGATCTGTTCTGGCTTCTTTTGGAACATAAGGAAGACCTAGAGAGGAAGAAAAGATGGTGTCAACTGTGGGAACCTTTTCTCTCCTGACTCTCCTTGGGGGCCTCAACTACCAAGGATTCTGCCTATTTTATTGAAAGGGAGGCTAAGACCCAAGGGAAGAAACACCAAACACCTGCACAGCACCTACTACATGCAAGGTACTTTGTGTGCATAAAAATCATATAAACACTTATAATATTATTATATGATTTCTACTCACCTCCATTTTACAGATGGGAAAACTGAGGCAGAGAGTGATTAAGTAACTTGCCTAAAGTTATACAACTAATAGTTGTCCAAGCTGGGATTTGAACGCAGTCTGACTTGAGAGACTGGGATCTTTCCAATATCCTATCCCACGTCCCAGCCACTAGGGAGACTGGGGAGCTCGGTGACTAGGGAACTGGGTGTTGAATACCCGCACAGCCATAAGACAAATTCCCAGGTTCTCTGCTCAGACTCATCTTGGTGAGAGATTGATAAGAGCCCCCTTCCTTTCCTCACTGCTCCAAACTCATGACCTCGCCCCGCACCACTCAATCCTGTGCGCCTTCTGGACTCACAAGCAGGGTTTCTTCTCTTTAACACTCCAGGATGGCTTTTGCTGTTGGATGATCCTTACCACATAATACCAATTTTTTTTTTACCAGACACCAGGGAGACTGGGGAGCTCGGTGACTAGGGAACTGGGTGTTGAATACCCGCACAGCCATAAGACAAATTCCCAGGTTCTCTGCTCAGACTCATCTTGGTGAGAGATTGATAAGAGCCCCCTTCCTTTCCTCACTGCTCCAAACTCATGACCTCGCCCCACACCACTCAATCCTGTGTGCCTTCCGGACTCACAAGCAGGGTTTCTTCTCTTTAACACTTGACGATGGCTTTTGCTGTTGGATGATCCTTACCACATAATACCAATTTTTTTTTTAAAAAAATTATTTTCATTTAATCTGGGGCCCAGTTGCTAATGGGGCAAATGCCTACCTCTGCAGGTGCATGAATGAAGAGTGGGACCAGTGGGAGCTTGTGGGGTGCGATGGCACACCAGTGAGTGCCCTTCCTCTGACAGGGAGTAGTGGGACCACGGTTTGCTCTGACATCAGCCTCAGGACAGCCACCTGAGCAAACCCTGAGACCATCCAACACTTTCCTCCAGCGCCCACGCAGGACGCTCCATGTACACCACCCCAGACCCAACTGACAGATAACCCAGCACCTAAGGGACCAGGCACTTAACATGTCAAGCAATCAAAGGCCTCTGAGAAGAAACACTACCAGCACACGCTTGCCATCTGCTGGTTAGAAGTGCAAAGTGCAGCCAGACGTCTGTCATGCTGGGGGCACAGCTTCCTCCTGGCTTCAGCCCCAGTCCTCACTGTTCCTCTGTGCTGCCTGCTCCCACAGTGCCCACCTGTCCGCAGGAAGACACCTGTTAGCATAGGAAAGAGGGAGATGGGACTGGGAGTGATAACATAAGGACTCTCCAAATGTGTCCCAGGCCACAGACATGGAATCTAAGGAGTACAAGCATCACCTGGGATTTCGTTTGTTGAAAAGCACATTCTTAATCAGAGTGCTGGCGCTGGCACATGAGATTCTGCATTTCAACAAGCCCCAGGTGATGCTGATGCTGCTGGTCCGTGGACCAGACATTAGCCCATCGCTCAGCATCCCTGATTCAACCTCCAAATCACTACCTGGTAACTTGTCAAGCCTCAGCTAGATTGTTTTTCTTCTTTTTTTTTTCTTCCAGGAAATCTTTTGTTCTACTTCCATTTGAAATAGAGAACAGCTAAAAACAATGAAATATCTACTGCTTAGCCCATACTCAGTGTGTGCCAGGCCCAGGACTAAACACTCTCATACGTTATCTAATTCAATCTTCCTTCAATCATTTCCTTTTACAAAGTAGGTGTTATTACCCCCACTTTATAGATAAGAACATTGAGGCCATAACATGTAAATAGGTGACTCATGGTCACGCAGCTGTAACTGGAGGAGCTGAGATTCAAGCTGAGGTCTTCTGAGCCTGCGCTGACCCAGTTGGTTCACTCCCACTTGCAGCCATACTCTCAGGCCAAGTGCAGCCCACCGGCTGGCAGAAGTAGCTTTAGTTAGCCAGGAGCAAGGTGGCCACAAACTGGGAGGAAGAGGAAAGGAAAAGACCAGGTCATAAAGCCTGCTATCCGTGCGGTGAGACCTGACTGGTCAGGACTGGGGGCGGTACTAGCCCACCAACCATCCCTCCTCCGCCTCACGGATACTTGGTGAGTGATTGCTCATCAGATCAACTCCAGGGAGCAGCCAGATCAGAGGCTGGGACTTGCATACATCTTGCTGGGCTCCAACTTTCTTTTAATGTGGGCAAATCTGGACCGCAAACCCACACTAGGCACCTGCTGTGTGCAAGACTCTAAGCTGGAGGGGACACAGAGCTGTACACACATCAGCCCTGCCCCCAGGGAGCTCACAGCCTCACTGAGGGTGTGGGAAACCTACCTCCCCTTTAAGGATGGGGCTAGAAGAGCAGTAGGAAACAGGAGTTCCAGGAGTTGGTATTGAACTAGAGAATGAGGCAGCCTTGGGCTAACAAAGGAGAGGGGAGGAAGCCTCCTGCCAGGAGAAGACTGCATGGTGCCTGGACACCCCCCACCCCCGCCACCAACTCACCAGGGGCCAGCGAGGGAGCAGCGGGCCTGCAATCGGGGCTCCTACTATGGGACGGGCAGCCACAGAAGAGGAGAGAGAGGAATTGAGAGAAAAGAATCGGTAACAAGGGGTCTTGAAGGCTATTTTAAGGAGCTTGAATTTTATCACTTATTTATTCATTTGACAATGATGTGTCAAAGGGTTACTAAGCTCCTCATGCTAGACGCTATTCTGAGCACAAGCCACCTCAATAAAACAAAACAGACAAAAGTCCTTACCTCCAGGGACTCTACATTCCAGTCCTGGAGGCAAAGGGAGCTACAAAGGACGTCTGAGCAAGAAGCTGACCTAGGCACCTGGCAGATTTTCAGACCATTGTGGTGGCAGCAATTTGTCACCAGAATTAAGTGACAAGTACTCTAAAGGCATGCCTCAAAAGTTATCTGTACCTACCACATGGTATCACACATATGCTGAGCTTATCTTTAAAAATATAAGTAAGACATGGCCCTGCCTTCGAAGCACTTGTAGTTTGGAGGGCAGGCAGACAAATATGCAAATCATAAGACAGGGGGAGTGCTGGTTGTTGCTTAACAGGCTTTCAGGATGGGTTGTCACCAGAATTAAGTGACAAGTACTCTAAAGGCATGTCTCAAAAGTTATCTCTACCTACCACATGGTATCACACATATGCTGGGCTTATCTTTAAAAATATAAGACATGGCCCTGCCTTCGAAGCACTTGTAGTTTGAAGGGCAGGCAGACAAATATGCAAATCATAAGACAGGGAGAGTGCTGGTTTTGCTTAACAGGCTCTCGGGTGGGAGAGGGGGCTGATTTGTATTGTTTGCCAATTCCTATGGTGTAAATCCTCCCTCTGTGGCTGATTTCAAGGTACTGAGGGGAAGTTACTGAAGTTGGGAGATGGAGCTGGGAGATATATCAGTGCTCACCAGTTGGTGAAGCCCGCCCAGTCCACCTCGGAGAGTAGAGGCGAAAACCCAAGAAAGAAAGAAATAACCTGGACTTGAGAGTCAGGGAAGTTTCACGAGAGGCGACAATGGCCTGAGTCTGCATGAATTTGTCAGAGCACCAGGGGGAAGAGCATGTATGGCAGAAAATAGCCATTTGCCAAGGCCCAGGGCCCGAGCAGCTCGGCTACAAGGCAGGTGAGCAGGGCTGCTGGGGGAGTGGAGGGAGGCAAGGCTGGCAAAGATGGCTGAGCCCAGGACTGTGGAAGGCCTCACAGGCCCATCAGAGGCGCTCACCTCAGGCCCTGCCGGTCAGGAAGCAGCCAGAGGGCCCACAGGCAGAGGCCGATCGCTTTGGGGAGGGTGGGTCTGTCAGCAGTGTGGAGGGTGGACTGAGGATGAGGTATAGGAAGGAAGGCAGCCCAGCCCATGAGGGAGAGAAGAGGAAAGACGTGCATGGTCAGCACCTGCTTCTTCAGGCCGGATCCCTCGCCTCCTCCCAGCTAGCACCTCGCTGCCAGGCAGGAGGGAATGCAGGCAAGAATGTGAGCCCAGGGCACCTGGCCAGCTGCTAAGTTGCTTAACCCCTCGGCGCCTCCTGAATGTGCTGCCGGGAGAATTAGGGGAGTCGATGCCCATAACAAGCTGAGAGCAGTGCCTCACCATTAAAAAAAAATACACACTCCAAAACGTCCGTGAGGTGAGCACTTTCTCTGAAAAGCTTTTCCAGGCACCAGCACCACAACCCTGGGCCCAGAGCCTGGCGCGCTGCCCTCCTGCGGGCCCCTGGAGCACACTTCATCGCCCTGCCCACACTGCTTCCCCTCCTAGACCCGAGCCCCTGGAGGGCGGGTGCGCCTTGTCCAGCGGTGGTTCTGTGCGTCCTAGCACAGCCCGGCCCAAAGCGCTGCCCCCTGCTCGTGCTCAGGGACAATTTGCTGAGAGCAAGGCGTGTGGGAGGAGCACTGGCTACGGGACAGAGGTTACCAGAGCCCAGGAAGAAACAGAAGGTGGGGGTGTTTCTTTTAGGTGTGAGGGGGCTGATGAGTTCTGATCTTGCTTGTCACTGGCCTGCACTTTTCCACTTAAGGAAAAGGAAATGGGAGTTAGTAACAGGGATTCTCTACAGGGAGACAGCGGAGCTCTGGCACGTGTCCCCATCAAGGCTTTCTGCAGAGCAGGGTCATAGTTTTATTTATCCCTGGGGCACCCCAAAAAGAAAGAGACCCTAGAACTCTTCAGAGTGCCCACCAGTCTTGCCTCATAGAATATGTCCCCTGAGAGAACCACCAGGCCTCGGTCATAGGCAGCGAGGGATCCTGCCGGCCTCAGAGGCTCCCACTGGGACGTGGTGTGAGGGCCTGCCACCATCAGGAAAAGACGGAAGGAGGAGGGTGGCAGGGAGGGACGAGTGTACCAGGAACCAGGAATCAGTCCTCGGGTCTAGAAGAGCAAAGGGCAAGAGCAGTCAGTGGGGCTGGTCACCATGCCCCTGCCCCCAGCCCTCCCCCGCAGCTCCAGCTCTGTTCCTCAGAATGACCGCCATGAGGTCAGATAAGCAAGCAAGAGCTCCCGTCAGTCAGACCACAACATCTCCTGCATTTTCTCAGGCCCAGGAGTGCTTGTTGCAGAGCTTTGCCAGGTTGGATACTGGCCCTGTGGGCACCATAAGTAAAAGCAGGGCTCGTGTCTCATCCAAAACCTCCTTCTCTCTCCCTTCTCCCAACGTGGCCAGCTGAGGGTCTCCAGTCCCCCCGCCCATGACCACCAGCTTCGGGCCTCCCACTGCCCCTGCCTTCGGACACTGGATGGCCGCCTGCGGGGCAACTTTGGGGAGACTCCGCTGGCCATGACTCTGCTCCGTCCTCACTTCCGCTGCTGTTCCACGTGGGCTCTCCAGCCGCTGCAGTGCCCCCGATGCAGGGCCCAGGGCCGTGGATATTGTGCGGTGCCCCCCCATTCTACCCCCCCCCGTCCCCCCGTGCAGGGCCCAAGGCCGTGGATATTGTGCAGCAGGGAGGGGGGTGCAGAGAGCACAGAGCTCTTGGTTCCCTCTCTCTGGCTCTCTGGGGCCCTGGCTTCCCGGCCTCTCACTGAGCCCCGCCATACGAAGTCCCCCAGAGCAGAACTTACCCCCTGCTTCTCCTGCGCTCCTCC